ATCTCTGCCTGCAGAGGACTTACATTCTGATAGTGGAGACAGACAATAAACAGGATAAATAAGTAAAGTTATGGTTAAGTGCTAAGCAGAAAAATAAAGCAGGGAAAAAGGTTAAGAGGTACTGTGTGTGCCCACATGGTGTGTATGTTTAAGGGTTCAGTCTCAGATAACCATTGGAAAGGCCTGAAAAGGAGACATTTGAGCAAAGACACGAAGGAGGTGAAGAGTGAGCCATATGTATGTCTGAGGGAGAAGGATCATTCATGACAGAAGGAATAGCAAGTGCAAAGGTCCTGAGGTGGCAGTGTACCTGGTGTGTCTGAGGAGCAGCAGTGTGACTGGAATGGAATGATCAAGGAGGGAGAGTGGGAGAGGATGAGGTTTGAGTGGTAAAGCGTGAGGGGCAAATGGTGTGGGATCTTGAAGACTACTAAGACTTTGACTGGAAGGAAATGGGGAGCCATTGGAGACTTTTAAGCAGAGGAGAGACATGCTCTGATTTTTCTTTTAACAGGATCACACTGGCTGCTGGGGGAAGATTAGATTAAAAGCAGAGAGAGTGGCAGAGCGGGGGTGGGGGGTGGAGGTGTGAGGGTGTCCTGAGAAGTTGGAGCTGGTATATTAAATTAAGAATATGTAGATTATAATCTGCTGAATGAGGAAGCACGAGCCACCCACATGGCGGCAGCAGACAGCCCCCTTAGCATTGGAGCTCCCACTTTGGGGAAGTGAAATCCCTGTGGTCAGTCATAGTGTAGTTTCGATACCCCCACACAAAGGAAGTAGAGTCACAAGGTTTACTACTTACAGATCCCAGAAGTGAGGGGGCACAATTGAGCTGGGGGAGTCCTCCCTCCCAGGTCACGAGTGAGCAGGAGATAGAGAGCACGGTAGCAAGCACCCACTACCTAGAAGGCGGTTGGGGCAGAGGTCAATAATTTCCTGTGGGCTCAGCTCTAAGTCGTTATTTTAAAAGGTGACCTGGGAAAAACCAAAGTGGGAATCTATGGTGGGCATCTAAAACTCAAGTCCTTGTCTAAATGTCCAGATTCTGGGTGTGAGTAGGGTTGTCATAGCGTAAAATGCCTAGGCAGCAATTCAGAAAAGTAAAAATTGTTTTTCTTATCACAGAGGGTAAGCAGAAGTCCAGGTAAGAAGCTACCGAAACAGTCCAGACAAGAGATATGGTGGCTTGGATCAGGATGGTAGCAGCGAAAGTAGGGAGAAGTAGTATAAATTTTTTTTTTATTACGGAAAATTTCAAACATAAACCAAAGTGGAATAATATAATGAACCTCCATGTACCATCACCTAGCTTCAACAATTATCAACCTGAAGACAATCTTGTTTCAGTTATACCCCCATCCACATCTCCTCTCCTGTATTATTTGGAATTGAATACCAGACATCATATCATTTCACTGGATATATTTTGAATATAAATGTATGATGTGAGAGAAAGATTGGAGCCAAGGACTATTCCAAGGCTTTTGACCTTGGCAACTGGAAGGATGGACTTGTCCTTAACTGAGACAGGAGAGACTGAGGAAGGGTGCAGGGTAGGATGAAGATGAGGAGCTCAGTTTGGGAACTGAAATTTGAGGGTCTAATAGAGATCCAAGTAGAGTAGTGATATCGAACCTGAAGTGAGTTCGCTTACCCATTGTGCAGCAAGCCAATCTCTGACACCGGGTGTAGTGGAAGAAAGTAGGAATTTTATTATTGCACAGCACTGAGCAAGGAGAAAGGGCAGCTAACGCTGAAATCCCAAACTCCCTGAAAAGCTAAAAGGAAGGGTTTTTATTTGGGATTTTAGGGAGGGGAGGGGGAACATGTGGCCTTGCTGGTCAGCAGCTTTCCCACCAGCCTGTACCTCCTTGCAAGGAGGAGATAGCGAATCCAGGTGCTTGTCCTTGGCTGTGTCTGTCTCCATGGAGGATAGCAGATTCTGGAGCCAGGAAGCCAGGGAGTAAACAGTGAACGAGCATTTTGGTTTTAACTCCACATATGCTGGGTTTAATGTGGGGGAACCAATATCAGGGTCAGTATCAGTAAGGAGATGGATGTGTGAGTCTGGATTTCAGGGAATATTCTGGGTGGGATTGAGATACAAATTTGGGAATCACTAGTGTAGAGATATTTAAAGCCACGAGACTGGATGAGATCACCAAGGGAGTGAGTACAAAGCAAGAAACTTTGAAAAGGACCAAGGACTGAGCCCTGAAGCTCTTAATAGTATTAAGAGGTTGAGGAGTTGCAAGAGTCCAGCAAAGAAAAGTCAGAAGTAGCCAGGGAGGTGGAAGAAATATCGGGAGTGGTGTTTTGGAAGCCAAGTGAAGACATCGTTTTAAGAAGTGATCCACTGGGTCAAATGCCTGGTCAATCTGCTCTGACTTTGCCCTGAGGGCAAATCAGAGGAGTGACCAGTGATGAAGTTAGCATTCTGGAAAGATTGGTCTGGCTACTTCTGTAGTGAGGCTGGATTGTAGGAGGCAAGAGTAGATTCAGGGAGACGTGTCAGGATGTATCAGGACAGTGTGAAGTGTCCATAGTGGTGAGAAATAACGGTGGCTTGGACTAGGCTGCAAGCAGTGGAGGTAGAGAGAAAGGGCTGGATTCTAGGTCTTTTTTGGCAGATGGGTAGGCAGGACTTGGTGACTACAGGTAGAAGGTGAGGAAGAGGGAGACGGCAGGGATGGTTATCAGCTCTCTGGCATGGGGCCTTGAGTAACTGGTGAGGGGTCACTATTAACAAGAAAGGAAGACAGAAGGAGGAATGAGAATGGTGGAGATCCAGAAAGATGACTTGGAGCTACCCATAGATAATAAGGGGAGTGAGCAGCTCCATGTGAAGACAAATTTTGATTTCCTCAGCACGGAGATGGTTGTTGGTGCCTTGGAGAAGGATGACCAATGCCAAAATTTAAATGATGCGTGTAGGAAGTGAAACTCACAGTGCTAGATGGGCTGGTGAAAGAGGTGGGACAAAGGCAGAGAGCAAAAAAAGCTGTTCACATTGCCTAATGCCTCTAAGTGGGAAATATAGGTCTGAGAAGTACCCAAGAAGCCACTGGTGACCATGGTGGGTGCAGTGTAAGGGAGAGCTGGGAGCAGAAGCCGGATTAGGATGGGTCAAGGACTAAGTGTGAGGAGAATGGAGACAGCAGTGTAGCTGACCCTTTCAAGAAGTTTGTTGTCAAAGGGAGGAGAAAGACAGGGTGTGAGCTCGAGGAGGTGGTAGGGTGGAAAGTGTTTATTATTTTACGTATAATTCTAGGGGGAAAAAACCCCTCAGTCATGACACATTTCAGTTTAAACTTTCAAACTGGCTAACACCAAATGGAAAGCATCACATTTTTAATTACATAAATTTGAAAAGTCCCCATATTTCCAATGTTTGTTAGTGCCTGGTTCTTAAATAGTCCCATATTATAACAGTTTAAACAGCAGGGGCAGTTTTGCAAACCTAAGTCAACAATAAAGTAAGACTCTAAACATTTGCCATATGTTCATGATGACGGATAATGAACTTCAAGACAATGTGAAAGTTATTCAAACAATAAACAGACCTTACATGTTAGTTCTTACTCAGCTTCATGAAATCTCTGACAGTTGAGCAACTTTTAATTATTTGATCACTAATACAGTGGATGACATTTGAAGATTTAAAAAGGGAAAAGGGGGGCTGGCTCAGTGGCCTAGTGGTTAAGTTTGGTGTGCTCTGCTTTGTGGCCTGGGTTTGGTTCCTGCGTGCAGACCTACACCACTCATCAGGGGCCATGCTGTGGTGGTGACCCACATACAAAATAGCAGAAGACAAAATGCTGCCCTGTTGAGCACGTTTCTGTGGGGAGAGAGAAGAGCCCGTGGATAGGAAGGGGGTGGGTGAGGTTTTAGGCAGAAGGAAGACACACTAAGTTGGGTGTTGCCTTTAGCTTGGGTTCCCCCAAAAGCAGAGCATGGGACAAGGGCTTGTGTGAAGATGACTTGATCTGGGAAATGATCTCAAGGGACGGGTGTAGTGGATTGAGAAGGAGGGAAAACCAATTCAATGAATATTATTAAATTGATCAATATTATTAATTGATTATTAAATTGACCCTCAGCTGTGGGCAGCTTGGGTCTTATTTCACTGAGGACCCTCTGAGGAGCTGGGTAGAATGTCCCTCAAAATTATCCATCCAAAAGGTGGAAGAGGAGAGTTCCCATCCACTGGTTTCTGTCTTTCCATTGGTCAAAGGTTGTCCCCTGGGGTGTTAACTCCCTTGAACTTCCATGTTTGCTCATGCTTTATAATGGCTGAGCAGGTGACCACAAAGGTTCTGTATGGGGCAGCAGAGAATGCCCTGGTAGAGACAGGGCCATTTTCCCTGCCACATGGAGAGATTATCCAAGAAAATCTAAAACAATGCTCTCAAATTTTTCCCATCCCCCATATGCACGCCCCTCTGCAATGCTGACTTTGCAGTTCCTTCCATCAAGAGGTGGAACCTATTTCTCCCTTGAAACACAGCTTGGGCCATGTGACTTGTTTTGACCAATAAGATTTTAGCAAACATGATGCAAACAGAGGCTAAAAAAGTGAGCGCGTATCAGGGCTTGCCCTTCCTCTTGCTAAGTTTAGAACCCAGTAACCCTGTGAATAACCTCAGACCAGCCTGTTGGATAATGAGAAACACGTGGTTAAGGGATTCTTATTTTTCCAGCTGATATTGAGCCAACTGCCAGACATGTGAGTGAGGATGCTGTGGACCTCCAGCTTCAGGGAGCCAGCTCAGAGCAGAAGAACTGCTCAGCCAATTCACAGAACCACGAGCAAATAAATGGGTGTTTGGGGATGGTTTGTTACATGACGTAAACCAGTTGACATAACTTCTGGCGTCATTTGGATTCCTTGATCCAGCTGTGCCTGATATAAGCTACCCTTGGACTCTTATGGGCCATTACATTCCACTTATTTTTGCTTAAACTAATTTGAATTGTGTCTCTGTCACTTGCAGCAAAAAGTGTCCTTGATGATCCAAGACTGAATGGACTGTATGGACAAATGGGCAGGAAAGATGAAGACATTGACTAGTGAGTGACTGATAGACTTGACTTTGGGGGGTAGGCTGGATAGAAAAGGAAGTAAATCCAGGGTGGAGAGGAAGTGGAAGGGTCAGTAGTTCAAGGTCCTTCCTGCATGAAACCATAGGGTTTCCTTCTCTGAATCTCTTCTTGTAACAGGGTCAAATTCATCGTTTCCTCCTGGTCTCCCTCAGTAAGGCTGATTTCATTACCTCATATCAGCCTGTTTCCCACAGGCCCCCAGAAGTCCACAGAGCTGTGAATGCCCCCGACTTAAAGGCAGGCAAACTAGGGAGCCCCTTCCCTGATGGTCATCATAATCCGTCTTGTATTCCAGCAAGACAGAGCTCAATTGGGCTTGCGGATCTTAGGAGCTTTCTCCTTGTGATATCTGGGGCACCATGGAAGAAAAAGCTACAACCAGTCTTAAGCCTATCCAAAGGACAGAAATTTTCACAAAAATGTCCCCAAATGCCTAATATTATGACATTTTCTCCATCTTCTTTCCTGGATATAAAGCAGAGGGGAGACAACTCCCGGGAAATCTGAACTCAATAGACGAATCAAGGTTGTCTGGGATGAACATGCAAATTTGTGCATGAAATACAAATGAACTCCATCGGTTGTAATTTAATCACGTGGCCACACCCAGCTGCAAAGGAGATTGAGAAATGTAGTCTTTAGCCTTTGGCCATATGCCTAGCTAAAAATTCTGTTGCTGTTGAGGAAGAGGAGAAAGGATATTGGAGGAGACAGCAATTGCTTCTACAACATGCATTCTCCGTTTTTGCAGTTTGGGCCCAGTATAGGACTAGGAGTGAGGGAACTGTCAGGGCCAGAGAGGATTCAGCTCTTTAGAAATCCCTCTACCTCTGCCCTGGGATGTGAAGGAGAGCTTGGAGGGGCAGGAGAAGGAACTAATAACAGCTGGTATCTGCTACATTTTTTGAGCACTCACTGTGTCTCAGGTGCTGGGTGAAGCATTTCACATCCATTCTGTCCTTCTAGTCCTCGTACAAGACTGCACTTAATCCCTACAAGATTCATCCATTCAGTCAACACACATTTACTGAGTGCCCATTATGTGTCAGCCCCTATGTTAGGCACTGGGGAGGATGGTGAATAACACAGAATCCTCCAGTCTTGCTGAGTTTACAACATAACAAAGGGGTCACAGCACAAGCTTTGGAGCCAGTATACCTGTGTTCAAATCCTAACTTATTAGTCATGTGAATGTGCAAGTCACTTGGGGCCGGCCCAAGTGGTGCAGTGTTTAAGTGAGCACGTTTGGATCCTGGGTGCGGACATGGCACCGCTTGGTAAGCCATGCTGTGGTAGGCATCCCACGTATAAAGTAGAGGAAGATGGGCATGGATGTTAGCTCAGGGCCAGTCTTCCTCAGCAAAAAAAAAAACAAAAACAAGGGGGGGGAGGATTGACAGCAGATGTTAGCTCAGGGCTAATCTTCCTCAAAAAAAGAAAATGTGCAAGTCACTCAAACTAACTGCGCCTCAGTTTTCCCACCTGTAAAATGGGGATAATGACAGTACCTACATCCTAGGGCTACTACGATGCTCCAATGAAATGATGGATGAAAAATATTCAGCTCAGTGCCTGGTACATAGTTGGTGCTCAATAAATGTTACCTATTATTATAATGGGGGAGATGAATCTCAAATCATAATTGCTAATGAGATGAATGTGAATAGCAAGAAGTGCAGGGTACACCGTCCACCAGAGGTGGCTAGAAATCTGAGTGTCATTCTTTTTCCTTGATTATTCCGTCGAGATGTAACTTACACACAATAAAGTGCTCAGACCCGAAGTGTAGTGGATACTGTCGTGTGCCACCAAGATGCCCCTTCACGACCATTGAACCCATTTCCCCAGCTACTGGGAGTGTTGCTGCTGAAAACTCTCAGCTGAGTCCTTGCTTGAGCATTGGCTTCAGACAGAGGGAGGCTTCGCCCAAGATTCCACCCTCTTCCGTGGGGCTGCTTGTATTCAGTGACTGACTGATGTGGGGGGAGGGGGAGGGGCGCTGTACAGAGGCCTGATCCCCTGCTTCACTTGGGGACAACTCTGAGGGGCCATCACAGCTCCAGAGCTCCCCGTGGGGTTTGCCGAAGTCTTTATAGTGACTGCATCACAGTCCAGCTTTTCTCTCTGTTCAGTCCCAGTGCCTTCACTTCTTTACAGATGTTGGTCCTGAGAACTACTCCCTAATCGACCTCCTGTACATACATCTCCATCTCAGAATCTGCTTCCCTGGGAAGCTGATCTGAGACACCTAAATGTACGGCTGGATAAAGTTTTTGTGTTTGCGTATGCCCCTGCAACCACCACCCAGATGGAGGTAATAGAACATTTCTAGCAGTCCAGCAGGGTCCCTTAAGCCCCCTCCCCATCAATAACCCTGTAAAGGTAACTGGGAGCCCACGTTCTACCCATCAGCAAGATGGACCTTGAATCTATCTGCTTCTTTCCATCTCCACTCCCATCCCCAGCCCAAACCAGCATCTCCTCTCCCTGGATGCTGGCAACCGGCTTCTAAAGCCAGTCTCTCCCCCTGCCCTCCTGCCCTGAAACCCATTCCATCAGTTTTTGACCATGTCAAGCTCTTTCCTCTCTCCTGGGTTGTCAGGAGCCAACTCCCTCCAGGTCTACCCTTCTCAAGCTGCTTCTTTTATAGCCCTTATCAAAATTATGCTCTTTTTGAGCCAAAGCCTATCTTTTGGGTTTGTTTTTTTTTTTTAGATAAAGTGTATCTCTCACGCTAGAATGTAGAACAAAGCTGGATCTACCAGTTCCACACAGCAGCTGTTTCTATCTTGTAAGTTCCTCTTCTTATCTTAGCCCCCAGCCATCCATTGTTTCTGTGCCACGTTAGCTCCTGTTGGCAGAGTTTTACAGTTTATAAAGTGCTTTCACACTCATCACGTGTCCCTCACAATGACCTTGTGAAATAAGTGGTACAGTCAATGTCCCATTCTGTACACAAGGAAGCTGAGGTCAATGAGACTGAGAAACCTGCCCAAGGATCCGCTGCTAGGAAGTGGCGGAGCTGAGGTCTGCTAAGTGAGGCGGTATTGTGTAGTAAAGACCATAGTCTCTGGTCAGACATACACGACCTTCAATGTCAGCTCTGCTACTTAATGGCTATGTGACCTTGATCCAGACCCTTAACCTGCCTGAGCTTCTGTTTCCTCAACTACAAAATGGGGGCAATGGTTATCAACCTAAGCTCATTGTGAGGATAAACAGATGCCAAGCGTTGTGTGCTACGCCTGACACAACAGAAAATGCTCAAGAAATAGTAGCTCCCAATGTCCCAGAACTCAGATTGGATTGGCTTAGCCCAGCCAATGGATCGATTCTATCTTGGGTCAGGTGATTCATCCCTGGTCCAATCAGCTGTGGCCAGAGGTGAAGTTATTTGCTGTGGACAATATTATTGAAGGGATTGGAGAAGGTTAGTAGGATGATGAAACTGGAGCTCAGGGAGTGTGCCTATGGGTGAGGCCCAGAGAAAGTGAGAGAGAAAGGTGTGCCTTCTAGGTGACGTATGAGAGCCCCAGGAAGTCCCTGCTGAGCTTGTCCCGGTTCCTCTTCCACAGAAGCTGCCCTCTGAACATCAGTCCCTATCCTCCAAGTCTTGGTATTCTCATCTGTAAAAAAGAGGAAGGGGTGTTAATTCTATTCATCCATCTAACTTGTGGGGCAGTGGTGAGGATAAGAATCAAATGACATCATGTCTAGGAAGACTCTTGGTGTAAATGCTATGTAGATGCATAGGATTATTAATTTACCGAGGAAAAGAAACAAAGAATTTTCTTGAGCTGCCGAAGCAGATCCTTGTCAAAGCTCTTGGGGCAGGAAAGACACCCAAGTCACTCTGATTCACTCAGTGAGTGGCTGCTCATTCAATTTAGGTTGATGAAAGGATTCAGGGGGAATTTGATAGAAAAAAGGGCAGGCCTAATAGCATCCTGCAGCTTCTCTCCCTGGGGCTGCTTGAGGGTTTTTGATTCCATCTCTTGAGAGGTGTGGCTCCACTATCTATGCAGAGGGCTCTCTCTTTACTAATGTGTGGAATCGGGTGGGGTTCTCGCTTGGGCTGTTCAGTTCTGATTGCATTTCTACTTAGAGGTTCACCCACAGTTAACAGTACCAAGAGCTCTCCGTGCCTGGTCCGAGCCCCCAGAACTCAAAATCTGATAGGCTAAGTACAACCATGAATGGATTCTACCTATGGGTCAGCTGATCACTTTGGTCCAATTAGGTTTGGACAGAGAGGTGAAGCTATTGGGTATGAGCATGGCATAGGGCTAGCACTCCAGCATGGGGCTTGTATGGGTGAGTGTGGGCATTTTCAAAGAATGAAACATGGCCTGGGGGGCATCCCAAACAATGTGGTCTCCAAAATGGCATTGGACTGAGACTTTCATGAAGATAGTAGTGAAGGATTCAAAGCCATTCATTGGTTCACTCATTTATTCAACAAGAACGTGCCAAGCATTTGTGTCAGGCAGGCACCATTCTAAACCATTTCTTGTCACTATCCTTGTCAAGTCTTATTAGACTAGGGAGATAGATGATCTAACAAAGGGACACCATGAGTGGCCCAAGTGCTTTCACAGAAATCTGACTTGGGGGCGGGGAGAAGGGAGGGGCAGAAGATGACTTGGTCAGCTGTATGGGGCTTATGGCAGTGGTTCTCAAACTTGAGTGTGCATCAGAATTACTTGGAAGGCTTGTTAAGACACACATTACCGAGTCCCACCACTAGACAATCTGACTCAGATAAATCTGGGATAGTTGCTGAGAATTTTCATTTCTAAGAAGTTCCCAGTCCAAAGAGATTTATGCACTCCTATGTTCATTGCAGCATTATTCACAATAGCCAAGATGTGGAGGCAACCCAAGTGCCCGTTGACTGATGAATGGGTAAAGAAGATATGGTATATATATCTACAATGGAAGACTACTCAGCCATAAAAAAGACAAAATCGTTCCATTTGCAACAACATGGATGGACCTTGAGGGTATGATGTTAAGCGAAATAAGCCAGAGAAAGACAAATACTGCTTGATTTCACTCACGTGTGGAAGATAACAAATACATGGATAAAGAGAAGAGATTAGTGTTTACCAGAGGGGAAGGGGATTGGGGGGTGGGTGAAAGGGATAAAGGGACATATATGTATGGTGATGGACAAAAATCAGACTACTAGGGGTGAGCACGATGAAGTGTATTCAGAAATTGACAAATAATAATGTACATCTGAAATTACACAATGTTATGAGCCATTACGATCTCAAGAAAATTACTTGGAAAAAAAGAAAAAAGTTCCCAGGTCATGCTAATTCTGCTGGTCTAGGATCCATACTTTGAGAATCGATGACCTAGAGATTTGAGTATTGAAAGATGAAAACGTGCAGGGAAAGGATAGTTGACTCAAAGTCATGAAGTTATGACCTGGCCTTCAGTGTGCTGGGATTGCAAGTGCTTGGGCCACATCTAGTGTGTTTTGAGCGAGGTAAGGAGAGATTGAGGAGTAGGCAAGGCCTAAATTGTCAAGGTCCCTGAATGCCAAGCAAAGGAACTCGAACTTTATTCTGTAGGTGATAGGAGCCATTGGAGGATTTTAAGCAGGGGAGGGGTATTTATGTTCAGAAGGAACACAGCGGTTTGGGTAGAAAGAGGTGGGCTGGGGGGACAGGACAGAGAAGTCTACATCGTGAACGGCCAGACCACTGGCACTACTGGAGAATTGTAGTCTTTCCTGATGAGCGTGATGGTGTCACAGTCCTCTATCTGCAGGTCTGAGAGGCTGCGATGATTCCACAGTTTCCGACCCTGGAACCTTAGTATCTGATCCTCCACGCAAGGTCCTCCAGCCTCCTCAATCTTCTCTTTCAAGTCACGGATGGAGTTATCAGGGTCAATGGCGTAAGGCTTGGTGTGGCCGCTGGAGTCCTTCACGAACACCTGGATCTCAGGAGGGAAGGTCTCCAGCACCCGGACGTTCACTTTAGAGAAGATCCCGTAATCTGCCAGGGTCCGCCGGCTACTGAGCAGTTGCCGATCTCCTCCTGGCTCCTGGAAGGAGAGACGCTGCTGTCCCTGGAGGCGACACGTACTCTTGATCTCCACTTTCATCTTCCAGATGGGGCTGTAGGGGTCCACTGAGAGTGTCCAGGGCTCCCACCCTGTGTGTTTCACTATCACCTGGACGTCCCTTGCTGGCTGGAAGGGAGCAGGGAGCAGATTAAGGTATCTGATGGCATGGCTGTCTGTTGTCTCAAAATCCCCCCTCTTCTGGCTACTGATGATATAATTTGTTGCCTACTGAGGCACATTTAAAAGTAAAAGGAGATGCAGTCAATAATTCTCTCAGCCAACAAGTATGAACCAAGATTGTTCCAGGCAAAGCAGAACATTTGGTCATCCTAGGCTTACAGGACCACTGGGTCATCCTCTGTCCTCTGACTCACCCCAACCAGAGTGACAACTGGCAACTGCTCTCCAAATAACCACTCCGTCTATATGGACCTACTCAGACTCCCCACATGTCACACGGGGATAACATTAGCACCTACTCCAGAAGTCCATCATAGATAGGGCTGTTGTAGGCTAAATGATTCAATGTATGTCAGGCACTGAGATGGATGTTCAAGGATATTCACTGTAATAGCCAAAGTCTGAAAGCATCTTAAAAAATCTATCAGTAGGGCACTGATTATATGTTAAGTTACTTTTATTCATTGGATTATGATCTAGCTATTGATCCAGAATGACTTGATGTTCTCGTTAGTCTAGGGCAGTCCTGGTGTACGCCCTTTGTCCTGGCATAATTAACATCACCCCATTTCATGTTCAGAAATATCCTGGTTTGAACTTTGTTATATGGTTATGCCTTTTAGGCCTATATGTGTGGATATGGGATTGTCTTGCAGATAATTTAATTGAGTAACTGAATGACCTAATAATTTAAGAAAATAAAAGTAAAGATGCAAAAAATAGGTTGTACAGACACAGGCATGTGCTTGTGTGGCACATCCATGGAAGGAGATGCAAGAAATTGATAAGTGGACGCCAAGAACGGGGCAGAACTGACAGACTGGGCATTGGGAGGGCAGGGAGACTGATTTTAATTGTGTGCTTTTTTTCAACAGTTTGCTTTTTTGGGCTATGAAAGTGTGTTGCCTTTTCACAAAACATAAAATGATAATAGTAATCACTGGGAGGGGTCCTGGCAAGAGTTGGAAGACTGTTCCATGAATCTTGTCTCCCAGGAATCCCAGTCTTCTGGACATTCCAGCCAATGGGACGTGGCTAAGTGGTGGGTCCCGCTGATAGGGTGGTTCTGTCCCTTATTTGCTTCAGGGTTGCCTTGGGGGCCAGACTGAGAATTTGTGTGCAGGAAATGAAAAGCGGAACTGTGACAAGATTTCTCCAGGAGTAGCGGGCTGGGGAAATCAGATCTCTCAGTGAGCTCATAGCAGAGTCCTGGTCTCTGAACCCTGGATTCCTATGTAGTGTTGTGATCTGTGCGGGAAACACCATGTGCAGGGGGCTGTGCCCCTGGGCTTGCTCATTGCAGTGGAATCCTATGCTCCTCACTGATTGTTTTTAGACACGTGCTAAATCTCTTGTTTTCATAGCAAGAAGTTGAGCTTTCGACAACCCGCAATAGAGGAAACGTTACCCCACAGGATGTATGTATATGAATATATCCTTTGACTGTATCCCTCAAACGGCTACAGAGCAGGGCAGAAATTGCTTGCTCATCATACAGATGAAAGAACTGAGGTGCAGACGCAGCAGAGGGGGAAGAAATGCACACCTGGTTGGCTGGGATGTCTCCATGGGAGGTGCTGCCTGTCCTGGGGACTTACAGGTGCTGTGGCAGGAGTGGGGAAGATTTATGGGGGGTTGAAGTGAGGTCATCACTGAGTCATGACTGTGAGGTGAGGAGGGGTTGTACCTGTACGTGCCAGGCTTGGCTGGAGTCTTCCGTCCTGCAGCAATCCTGCTTCAGGCAGTAAACGGCCTCTTTGGCCACCAGGTCCCATCTCTTTGCCCTTCCCAGGTTGTTGGTGGGATCAGCTGGGTCCAGGATAATGGGCCTGGGAGAGAGGAGTGGGGAGGATCTCCATCACACTCAGAACTCTGTCACTCAGGTCTATGAGATTGTGCATACCTCTGTGTGGGGAGGCCTCCCTGCAAGCTGAAGCTCTTGGCTCGGGATTGGAGGTGTAACCTAAGCTGGCCCAATCAGAATGAATCTCAGGGATTCTGCTTGGAATGCTAGGGCAAAGGGGCTCTCCCTCTTGTACTGGAAGGTATGAGTCCAGATGAGAAACCTGGAACTGATGCAGCCATGAGGAAGTTAGCCTGAATTCAAAGGTAAAATCTGGGAGAGGCAGAGCTGAGCAATTCATGGATGGGACCCTGATGACATAGTGAACATCTAGATCACACCATACCTGAAGCTTCATTTATCTTTGGATTTCTCAGCTACAAAAGCCAATAAACTCCCTTTATTTTAAAGACTGTATGAGTTGGGTTTTCTATTAGCTTGCAGCTGAAGGTAATGCAACCAACACACCTGCATTCCTTCAACTGTTTTTTGATAAAGATTCTGACAACTTCATTTTCAAAATCATAGTACTTGGTCCAATATATGCAGATGTCTTCATAATCTCTGAGGAGTTTCATCACAGCTATAAATCCTTCATCCAGGTTGAAGCTCTCATTTTTGTTTGTACCCATTTCCCAGGCATAGATAGTCAGAAGCTCCAGTGCATATTTTGGGGGCACTGCTGCTTTTCGATATTTACGTTTCACGTACTGGAGAGGAGGAAGAGAGAGAGAGAGAGGGAGGGAGGGAGAATATGAGATTGTTAGTCTGGAAACTGGGAATTTCCAGGTCTCTGTGTTTCCAGAGCCCAGGAATACTTCATTTCACATGTGGGTTATGCAGCTCATCTGTGAAATCTGACGTGGGCCTAGCAGCTTGGGATCCAGATGAGCTATGTCCTGGGGCCATCAAAATTTCAATAAAAGAGAAAGTTGGGGCCTCTTGTGGACCTTCTGGTCCTCAACAATTGTGTTATTCAGTTGGAATGGGGGAGGCAATATAATATAGTGAATAGAAGATACAATCAAAGAAAACTGAACACACAAGCACACTGAAAACATAAACCAAAACCAGAACAAACTTCATCAGAAAGATGAAGAAGAGAGAGTAATCATGTGAAATTTTCAGCTCTTCAAAAATTAACTTAGAAACTTATGGCAATTTCAATTAGAATCCCAGTGGTGTTTTTAAAGGGATAAAATGATCTTAAGATTCATATAGAGGAATAATTGCCTAGGAAATCCAAGAAAACTATGAAAAAGAAAAATAGAGAGATTGGTATTTGTCTTCTCAGATGCGTCATGTAAAGGACTTGTAACAGAAACAGTGTGCTTTTGGCGTCAGAATAAACAATAGCCAAGTGTAACAGAACAGATAGCCCAGAGTTGGTTCCCAGTAGATACAAGAATTTAAGAATTGACAAGTGTGGTATTTCAGTTCAGTGGGAAAAAGATGCATAATCCATTAAATGATGCTGGCACAACTTAGCCATCTAGAAGAAATTAAAGATGATCCCACTGTCACACCAAATACCAAAATAAATTATAAATGGAGTTAAAGTATATATTAAATATATTAGAAGAAAAATTAAGAGACTACATATCTATGTGGGTAAGATAGGAAACCTAGAACCTATAAAAGAAAAGTCAGATATGTTTATTTTAAAATTTGAATTAATTATGTTGTCAAAGACACTATAATTAAGGTCAACAGATGAGTGATATATTGGCAAAAATATTTGCAACACATGAGAGATCATGGTAAGTATCTACAATTTGCAAAGA